CTTTGTGGTTGATGTGATAATCAGCCACGAAGAAGGTTGCAATCATTTTTTTAACTTTTCAAAATCTTCATCAACTATCTTATTTTTCATTCTATATACACTTGAATATGAAAGAGGCAGATTATCTGAATTACCTCTCCCTTCAATAACCAACTTTGTTAGAGTAGCAGTGATTTTATTGGCAGATATGTTGGCTTCCAGAGCTGTTCTCATTGTGTTATGTATGGTGTCTTTGCTAATGTCAACATGTTGAGATTGAGAATGTGTTTTGTTTTTTGGCAGGACTAGGCTGATATTCCCTGCCATTTGAACTGAGTGCGTCAGATGAATTTGAAGTATTAAGTACAGAATCCTAAGCATCCACAATAGAAGATACTCTATTAATCACTCTTTCCAGATCTCTCTTTTCTTTTTGCTTTGAAAAGTCAGCCCTGGTTTACACTCAAATCCAGTAAGTTATTTGTTATAATTTGTGTTAGTTTATGAAAATTACACTTAGTAAGAATTTACACCTCTTAATGAAGCAATAAACTCTTTCCTGGAAGTGACAGATCCTTGGCTTGTCTTTTGCTTTGGCTTTTTCATATTCATATACTTTGTGATATATGTCTTGATATTTGTGATCGGCCTAATAGCATTGATAGCTGGGAATCCAGATCTAAGCCACGTAAACATAAAGGATCCTTAAATCCATTTATTTTGACACTGCTCTGTTACTGTGGTACATACCATTCAATTAAAAAAAAACAAAGAGAACAACAAGGAATTTTTATGTTATATCATCTTGCATTCATCACTCAGCTTTGTTTTAATTTTCACATGCACAATTTTCATCTTTTATTATTCTATCCTTCACTACATGTTTACATTTATGTGGGTGACATTTTTAATAGTTTTTGTGTGATGTTTTTTTTCGTTACCATAGATTATTTAATTATTGTTATGATTTTGGGTTGGGCCGGTTGCTCATTTTCTTATACTTTTGATTAGTTATCATAATTTGAATCTATGACAACGTTTATTGAAGACTATTGTTGTTTTGTTGATTTAAAAAATTTTTTAATGAGGTTTTTTAATGAGGTTTTTTAACTGCTTTCTGATTGATTAATATATTTCAATTTTTTCCTTTAGAAAAAAGTCATTTCAATTTTTTCCTTTAGAAAAAAGTCATTTCAATTTTTTCCTTTAGAAAAAAGTCATTTCAATTTTTTCCTTTAGAAAAAAGTCATTTCAATTTTTTCCTTTAGAAAAAAGTCATTTCAATTTTTTCCTTTAGAAAAAAGTCATTTCAATTTTTTCCTTTAGAAAAAAGTCATTTCAATTTTTTCCTTTAGAAAAAAGTCATTTCAATTTTTTCCTTTAGAAAAAAGTCATTTCAATTTTTTCCTTTAGAAAAAAGTCATTTAAGGTATACTGCTTTCTTATTGTTTTGAGTTTGTCTATTTCAATTTATTGTGTTTTCATGTTTTCTTTCAGTGGTATGATAAGTGATTTACTTAGTTATTTTTGTTTGTTTAGTAGATCTACACTTTTAATATCATCAAAAAAATATTAATGCTTTACAAATTTGGGCATGGTTGGGTTTTGGCTATTTGTAGTGAGTCCTTACTGCAGTATGGAATAGGCGTAAATCACGGGATAAAGCATAAGTGGCGATGACGTTTATCTGACAGGATAAACTAGTTATAAGTGCTGATCCTCATCGAAACGCCAGTAATAATAGATGCAACTCTGAGTAGATGTTTATTACTTAATCGCTACACAAATTATGTTTACACATTAGCATTAATGTTTTTTTTTTTCCATTCTGAGGCCTTTCATTGTTGTAAGCATACTTTTTATTTTGTAATCAATTTTTTGTTTTATAAGTTTTTTGTTTAGTGATATATTTGTTGTATATCTTCGTACATATTAGTGTTTATAAAACAATTTTTTTTTTAATTATTATTGTTAAGTACTGTTTTAGGTGCATTGTCTGTCTTATTTATTTTTAAATATTCTTCTATTAATCTTTATTTTTGTCTTGACAACTGTCAAAATATGCTTTGTTCAAAAAATAATTCTCCTTTATTCTAATGTACTTCATTTCTTCCCTCAGGCATTCACTGCTCGTGTGTGACCATTCGGCAAATTTTATATGCCAAAGTTTTTAAATAATTTTGGGCCTAGCTCGTAAGGGTTAGTGTTATGATCATCGAGCACGACTATTTTCCAAATCACAATTACTGTGACCGCCAGAGAAGATATATTTTCTCTGGAAGATGCCTGGGCTAGCTTTTTAGTCATAAGTCAGTTATAAATCCATGCCAATCCATTGCTAGTTTTTTTAAAATAGTTATTATTTAAATTATAAATTTACATTGAAAATTATTTGGCTTAAGTACACTTTATGTTATTAAAAGTGTAACAATAAGTAACTTTCGTTTCGAGTTTTTTGAGTTTTATTTTATTGCTTAAATATTTTCTTTTTCGTAATTGTTTTCTTTTTTCATTATTATTTTTTTTTAATACTCTTTCTAGTTTAAGTTTACCTAGCGTTTCTTTTTTCAGTGCATTTCTAAAATATTTAAAAATCATCTAAACGTCTAAACAGTCATGGTCAAGTGTTCCAAAAAAATAAATTATTTATGTGGTCAGCAAGTGCGATTGATCACAAAGCATTTCTGTCCAAGCCTGATACATTTAAGAAAATATTGTGTGTGTCATGTTTTTAGATGGTTACTAACTTTTAGTACAATCATTTTAAACTGTAGATGTTTAAAGAATCAGTTTTTTGTGTGTGAAAAAAACAATATCATTATTAATTCAACAGAATTTTAAGATTAGCCGAGTATTAAGTTGATATAAATAACTTTTTTTAATCTTAATTTAATTGTATCTATGGATTTTGGATCTGTTTATATGAAGATATTGTTAGAAATAAATACATTTTACAATGTAATGATCAGATGTTCAGATGATCAGATGTTCAGATGATCAGATGTTCAGATGTTCAGATGATTCTAAAAGATAAAAAAAGATCTGAGACAGAGAAATAGGTGCGGGATTGTGAAGGTGGTTTGATAAGATGCAACAGGGAACGTGAAGGTGGTTTGATAAGATGCAACAGGGAACGTGAAGGTGGTTTGATAAGATGCAACAGGGAACGTGAAGGTGGTTTGATAAGATGCAACAGGGAACGTGAAGGTGGTTTGATAAGATGCAACAGGGAACGTGAAGGTGGTTTGGGCAAGTATATGATTAGAATAATCATATACTTTTGATGAATAAAAATGCAATGTTTATGCAATGTAAATGCAAAATTTAACAAAACGAACAATAAAATTAAAATATTTTATGTTTTGGTTTTGCATTTCATTCTTATTAGAATTAACTCTTTAATTAAGACTACTTTAATTCTGTTATCTTTGAGATTGATGACACGCTGACATGTGACAATGACACGCTTGTAAATCATATTTCAAAGCAAAGTTTTTTTTGCATTATACTTCTGAAAAGCTTTCATTGTCATTTTTAAGCATTTGATGCAAACAATTTTTTGATGGCAGTTAGCAGATTGTTTAAACCTATGCAATCTCTTAGATAAGTCTTTTTTCAATATTATCTTTACTTCAAAATTGCACCTATGCTTTTTTATTTACATTTTTTTTAAGGATTTTTTTAGTGTATGGTTCCTAAATATTTTTACTTATAGCTGGTTTTAAATACCAAAAATTGAATGTTAATTTTAGCAAATAAAAATTGTTATTATAGCATCAAGTCTCAAATATTTTTGTAAACAGTAACCAGATATTTTGCTTTTTAAAAAGCAAATATAAATTGCTGAAGAGGCAATAAAATTATTTTGCTTTGTCGCTCTTTTATCTGACTTCAATGTCTATTTAAAAATGAATAGCTAAGATGTGTTTTACATACTAGAGTTATCTCATAAAATCCGCACAGAAATTAATATTAAATTTATAAGAACAGAAATTAATATCAAATTTATAAGAACAGTGTTTGAAATATAATACAATTCAAACATTCTGTTTCTTAAAAAATACAATAATACTATTATTAATAGTACAATTAAATGGCTATTAATAATAGTATTGTAAATAGCCATTTAAAGTTCATTATTTATGAACTTTAAATGGCTCCAAAATAATTTTATAATCTATGAAACACAAAATATAACTTGAAATTGAAATATAAAATGTAAATACGTGAATAATTTATATGCTGTTCTTAACTAAATTTTTTTTTCCTGCCTCACTCTCCATCATCATGGGAAAGTTTGCCAGGCTTCAATTTTTTCTGTCAAAGCCGTATCAGTAATTTATATATCTATGGTTATTAGGGTGGTTCTAAAAACAAAATTTTTTGAAAATGTTTGATAGCACCTCCTAAATGTGTTCTATGTAATAAATTGATACTACATTAAAATTTTTTTTGAATGAAACATATTTTTAGGGGTCGCTCAAGATCCTTAAACATCAGATGGGTTCCTAATATTTTGAGGAAAAAAAAGTTCTTTAAAAGCATATCATGTTGGGTCTCAAAAAAAGTGAAACTTTATAAAAATTTCAAAAGAAAATAAAAAAGTTTATGAAAACACAAGTTAAAAAATTTTAATTAAAAAAAACTATGAAAATATGTACTTTTCAATTTTTTGTTAAAAAATGATAGTTTTTAAGCCATAAAGTGTTTTTAGAACCATTCTAATGGTTATTCTTACATTAAATGATACATAATTATAAATTAAGTTAATGGATGTATTTACATAAAATTAAACATAAAAGTACTTCAAAATAGTTAGGAGTAAATTGTAGTTTTTAAAAAAATGGATTTTTACCATTTACCATCATATAAATATGATGATACTAGAGTGTGAGAATAAGCATTCTTTTATTCTTTTGCAAAACTGCATCTCTTATATATCTATCACCTAACAGGTAGACAAAAAGCAATTATGACGGTTTAAATTAATTCTTTTTAGTACATATTTAATTGTTTTGTAGATACATAACAGACTTCCAACATTTAGAATGCCTTGGAAAAGGCGGATTTGGTGTAGTTTTTAAAGCTAAAAAAAAAATAGATGATTGTGAATATGCAATCAAGCGAATTTATCTTCCACGGTGTGAAGAAGCCCAAGAAAAGATGACGCGTGAAGTTAAAGCTTTGGCAGCACTTGATCACCCTGGTATTGTTCGTTATTTTCATGCTTGGTGGGAAACTCCACCCCCTGGATGGCAGCATGCAACAGATCAAAAACTTTTGTTACTTAATGAAACAGATGTAACCAATTCCTTTGCACTTTCTAATGATTGGATTGTGGAAATAATGAATGAAGAAAAAAATTTACTAGGTACCTAATTTAATTTTTTTTCCAACTTAGTATAATAATGAATAATTATTTGAAATTAAATTGGTATATATATAAATATTAAAAAAAAAAAAAAAAAAAGATAGAAAATGTAAATAAAAAACTTTAGAAATATGCATGTTTTATGTTTAAAAACTTTAGAAATATTTATGTTTATGTCATTATCATTGTTCTGGATGATATATTTATCATCAATGTGTTCTGGCTATATGTGGAAATTTACAATATGCTTAGAAAGTTGTTTTTTACAGATAATAGTTAATGATTTGACTTGACAAAAAAAGTTTTAACAGGGATTTATACATTTTGGTGGCACCAGTTTTTTCTGGGAGGAGGTGTTTTCGAGTACGTGGTAAATAAGAGTGAAAAAAGTCTTTCTTGGCCAAGTTATTTTTTTTTAATGTTTACTTTAAATTTTAATCTTTAAATTATTTTAAATACAACTTACAAGTATAGCAATAAAATGACAAGAATGAAAAACACTTTTATTTTAAAAGGAGGAACAATGATCCTAAACCTTATAAAATAAGGTTTGGGATCTTTTTAAAACCTCTTTTTAAAACCTCTTTTTAAAAGAGGTTGTCAATGTTTGTATGTCAAATATAAAATTTTAATTTGAAAGTGTTTGCAATATTCTACACCTCAATTTATTGTAAAAAGATATTTGCATATAGATTTAATGAAAGTATGTACAGGGCTCAAATTAAGCGTATCGCAAATCGCGATTGTTTTTTACACCTTCGCCATTAGTTTTTTCTTAAAATATATATTTTTGCGATTGGTTTACTTTTTTAGTTGTTTATTTACTATTTTTCTAATTAAGCTTTTTTTTTGGCAATTCTTAAAAGTAATGTTTTCATAGCAGAGTACGTCACACAAAGTTTGTCTTTTGAATAGAAGCATGATTATTTGCTCTTTTGCGCGGAGATTTTTATTCAACGTAAAGCACTTTTTAATTTAAATTACTTTAAATCTCTGCGTAGAAGCAAATTAAAAAGAAAAAAGTTAAAAAGAATTTTTTCTTCATTTTATTTTTTTAACAAAACAGCATTTTTATCTTTTTTTAAAAGAAATGTTGCTCCAAATTAACTTATTAATAATGATTTAAATTATTATTTTATAAACAATTTTATATAATTATTTTAACTACTTTAAGTATAATAAAATATATATTAATTCGTTTTTATTAAATAAAATTTCTATTAGTAAAATTTGCTAATAGAAACCAGCAACTTTTTTGCTTTCACGTTTTTCGCTTTAACGACCTTGAAACTATTGAAGTTATATTTAGTTACCTTTACTGAATGGATAGAGTATATCATAGTAAATTAACTTATAACCTAAATCAAAACAACCAGTTAAGTTAAGATAGTAACTTACAGTTACTCAAGTATTAATTTAACAATTATATTAATTTATTTAATATACTCGCAAAAGTTAGCCATAGACATGTTTCAATTTAGATCTTACATGTTATTAACACATATAAGCTTTTAACTAATAATTATTTTAACAAAAATTGTTGAATAGAATATAAAAAATGTGACACCATTTTTTTATATTTTCATTTTATTTATAGCGACATCTAGACTAAACATTTTCTATAAATACAGTTGTTTTCAGGAATTTTATTTAAAAAGAAATCAATTTGAACAAGAGAACTTAAAATTTACTTATTCAAATAATTTTGTGATTAAAATTTAAAATTTAAAAAAAAAAATTAAAAATTTAAAAAAAGTGTGATGAAACAAGGAAAATGAAGAAGTTTTTTTTTCTTAAATCGTAAATTTTGTTAACGTTTTGAATTATATATTTTTTCTTGAAAATAGTTTTAAAAGTAGAAACATTCTATTGCAAACATCCAAGAAGTGATTGCAAATTACAAGTTAAAATAAAAATTATAAAAAAATTTAAATTAAATTTAATAAATTATTATTATTTTTTTTTTTTTTATTTGCATTCACTCCCAACAAGGCTGCAAGCAACCACTATTAAGTTGGGAGTTACTAGGAAAAAAAAAAGAACAGAGTTATAGAGCAAGGAAACGGTTGACAGAAGACTTGAAAAGTTGAAGGTTGTATGAGTCAGGAAAACATGAAGATGGGAGAGAGTTCCAAAGGATTGAAGTGCGGGGAAAAAAACTAGATGAATAAAAGTTTTTAGAGCATGCAGGGACAGATACAGTAAACGAATGAGACTTAGCTGAATGACGAGTAAAACGAGAATGAATTTTAGTTGATGGAACTAGAGATGATAACTCCTTTGAGCAGTGACCATGAGTATCTGTAGAAAAGAGAAAGAGATGCAACTTTACGATGATGGAAAAGAGGTTCAAGCTTAGCAGATAGTCCAGGTCCAACAACATTTACAATGCGTTTTTGGACCTTGTCAAGAAGAGAAAGTGAATTGTTTGAAGAACCAGCCCAAACATGACAACAGTATTCCATACAGGGACGAATAAGAGATTTGTAGAGGTAGAGAATGGAATCAGAAGTAAGGAAATAGCGAGCATGATAAAGAGAAGCAACCTTAGCAGAAGCTAATTTAGCAATCGATTGTATATATGGTTTCCATGAAAGGTCAGTAGTAAGCGATAATCTAAGAAGACGTAAAGAGGAGGACTCAGTAGGAGGATTGCCATTCATTAGTATAGGAATGTTGACCATATTACGGTAATTTTTGCAGTAAAAACTGGGTTTTGTTAGAGTTGAAATTCACAAGCCACTGTGAACACCAATCTATTACTGAAGTGAGATCGGATTCCAGATCAGCTGCTTGTTCTAGGCGATCGAAAAGAGAAGACTTTTTGTCAAGACAGGAGTATAAAGTTGAGTCATCAGCAAAAAGAGCTACTTTAGATGAAAGGTTGTCAGGAAGATCGTTTATGTAGATAAAAAACAAAACAGGGCCCAGGATGGAACCTTGGGGAACCCCAGAAGTTACTGGAAATAGAGAAGAGTGTTGGCCTTCAAGGATGACTTTAATAAACCGGTTAGAAAAAAATGATTTGATAATCTCAAAAACTTTCCCAGAAACACCATATGAAGCAAGCTTATGGAGAAGACCAGCATGCCAAACTTTGTCAAAAGCTTTAGATATGTCGAGAGCAATAGCCCTAGCCTCACTGCTTCCATCTAATGCATGATAAAATCTTTCAGTTACAGCAGTTAGCAAGTCGGCCGTAGAGCGAGAGGATCAAAAACCGTATTGATTGTCTGACAGTAGTTTATTTGACTCAAGATGAGATGTGAGGAATTTGTTGATCAAAGACTCAAAGACCTTGCTAATAACAGAAAGAAGACTGATCGGACGATAATTGGAGGGGTCAGAATTTTCTCCAGAGTTTTTGAATATTGGAAGGAATAAAAGCTTCCATTCCAGCCTGAATCCAGGAGGTAACGTAGGAGGCCCATTTGTCAGCTGAGAGAGAAAAAACATCAGCCCAAGGACCATCACGAAGAAAATCACGAAAAGAATCCCAGTCAGCTTTAGTAGTAGGTGGTGCGATGATAAGGTGAGCCCAAAAAAGAAGTTTGAGAAGAAAGATTTATAGAGATCATAGCATGGTCAGAACCACCCAAGGGAGAAAAGGGAGAAACTGAATACAAGCTAGGGTCAAAGACAAGACACAAGTCAAGGAGTGAAGGTAAATGATTAGGGTTGTCAGGAAAACGAGTCACAAAGTTAACTATCTGAGTAAGAAATTGAGAAACGCAGAAGTTAAAGGCTTTAGTGGCAGCAGGATCAGTGGTGTTAGAGCCAAGCCATTCAGTGTGATGGGCATTAAAATCACCAACAACAACAATATTGGCAGAGGGGTAAAGAGAGAGGGCATGGTCAATTTGATCAAAGATAAGAGGGCATGGTCAATTTGATCAGAGTGCAATCATGGGAAGAAGGAGAACGATAAATAACAAAGAGAAAGGTGATAGAGTGAAGAGGTGCTAGGCGAAAGCACAAAAGAATAGTCAAAGGATTCGAACCTGATTTCACGACAATTAGGGGAATTAATGCGTATGTATACCCCTAAACCTAGTAGCTGACTATTGGAGTCTTTACGAATCAAAGGATAGTACCCATCAACACTGACATCTGAAGAAGGAATTGCAAAATTTAAATTTGTTTTACTGAGTGCAAGCAAGTCTGGTGAATTTTGCAGGAGGTAAGACTCAACTGACGGAAAGTTGCTTCGCCGACCGCGAATATTTGTAAAATATATATTAAAACATTTAGGTGGTGGGGATGGTTTTTTAGGTTTAAAATTTTTGGTTACTTTGGTCATGATTTGGGTTTAATGAGAACTTGACTCATTCATAGATAGAGCACAGCCTCCTAATCAATGAGCTATGCAGTTGTCTCAGTCCTGTTAATTAACCCTAAGCCGTGACATAGGGCTCCTTATGTGGCCTTGACAATGCACACCAAAAGCATTAACAGGGACACCATCCATGCGCAACATGGCACTGTTAATACTCTGATATTTTGCAGCTGTTGATGGAATCAGCCTCTCTGAGAACTACCATAGAGTTCAGGAAACCTTTTTATCAGCCGGCCTCAGAACCATTAAACTGAGTTTTAGAGCTGTACCCTCATATGTAGATAACAGGATCAGTTGCATAGCCATTATCAAGGGGGCATAAGCAAAATTCTATGAGTAGAGTCAAGGAGATCCAGCATTCATCATCCTGGGCAGGAAACAATGTAACACAGGTTACATCTACGCCAGCCTAATAGATGAAGAAGGGGTTCGAGGCTGGTTAGCAGAATTTTTCTGTTTACCCCTAAAGTATTTGCCTAGGAGGCCTTCTACAAGACAGTAGCTGGATGCAGTTAACATCTGCCCAAGATGAGTATTTTTATCGAGACACCATCTCTAGCCTTTACTCAACCAAGAGCCCCAAGGCAGGGGATGTTTAGCTGGATGCAGTTAACATCTGCCCAAGATGAGTGTTTTTATCAAGACACCATCTCTAGCCTTTACT